ACTTGTCCACCTAGGGCCTTGCGCCACCTTACACCTGGTAGACTAAACAAAGCCCTCCTAGGTAAGCGGTATCCAGGCATAAGTAGCACGTGCCCGAGCGCACGCAACTTATTCAGTGCTATCTGTTGTTCTAGAGAGCTTGCATGATTATCACCACCTAGTACTCGCCTATGCACATCATCGCTGCGGACACGCTGGTGCCATCCAACGCCAGCAGTGCTTCGCAGACAACAATGATCAAAGACATGAAGGCGCCTCAGATCTTCAGACCAAAGGGGCTAAGTCTCAATACCAAAGAGCAGAACGGCATTCACTGTGGCCTTGTATACGCGGCCTTTCAGACGAAGGGAAACTCCCTTCTGTCGCCAAAGATACCGCAAGTTCAAGAAGGCAGCTCTCGCCTTTGCAATGCGTCAGCTGACGTCAGTTTCTATGCGCCTATCGTTGCTGATGCAGCTGCCAAGATAAGCGAATTGATCAATCACATCGAGCTCCTCGTTAGCAAGGATAAAGGGGTCATAAAGTGTTTGGTTGTCCTGCAGCAACACTTTGCACTTTGAAGGTGCAAAGCGCATACCAAATAATGGGACCAATCTAGGCAGGCTACTCAGGGTTGATGGTGTCGCCGCAACATCGTCGAAAATTAAGACGATAGCATCCGCATAATCAAGCAGCACTTCAACGCCTACATCGTGAGATTCCGCTAGGAAACACACCATGATAGAATCCACGACGAAATTGAACAGAAATGGGGGAATCGGACAATCCTGACGAACGCCACTTGTAGTCGAAAAGCTATCCGATAGGGCACCATAGACCCTGACGCGGCCTCTAGTGTTCAAGTATAGAGCACGAAGGATGTTCATATATTTCGTGGGAACACCTTTCCACCCAAGTATTTCGAACAGATTCGATCGATCAACTGAATCGAAGGCACTTTTGAAATCAAGGAACAAAGCTATTGTCGGTCTGCGATATGCGTGGCGCTCCTCTAGCACCTGTCGCAAAGTGAATATATGGTCTATACAGCCACATCCTGGATGGATACCTGAATGTTCTTCTCGAATCAGAGATTCACGTTCCGTAGTGAGGCGACGAACGAGAATCGAGGCCAGTAATTTTGTCACAACTGACCTTAGGGTAATACCCCTGGGGTTAGAATAGTCTGTGCGACTGCCCTTCTTGTATATTGCCACTATAATCCATTCACTCCAATTTGTCAGGACACTTCCTTCTAGATACGTTCGAATAAGGAGGTCAGTGCTTTGCAGAGGACCTCACCTCCATCCTTATATAGTGCAGGTGGGAGGGAATCCGGGCCAGCGGCACGAAAACGATTGAGGGCTGTGATCGCGCTTCGGATCTCGGCCTCCGACGGAGGTTCTAACCTAACCGTCCAAGGTTCGTCCTGCATCACCTGAGTAGGAAGAAGTCCGGGAGCAGGGGGCCAGCTGAACAGATCTCGAAAGTGTTCCGCACAACGAGCCATACGTCGCTCCTTATTGTGCATCAGTGCACCCGCGCGGTCTCTGATTGCCTCACTGACGCCTGGTTTCCTGGGACCAGTGGTGCGGATTAGCTGGAAGAGCTTCCGGTAATTGCCTACTGCTCCTGCCTGCTCCATTTCTTGAGCCCGATTGGTTCACTAAGCTTCCTTGTCAGCACTTAGGCTCCGCTTTAGTTCGCGCCTAATAGCCCGTCTGGTCACATTGTGCACAGAGCCAGTCGGGAGGTCTCTTCTAGATTCCAACAGATTCACTGAACTTTCGGATATCCAGTGACTGGTGCGGTGACGATTGATAATGCCACAAGTAGATGTACCTATGCTCTGCATGGTGGCCGAGATCCTATTCCACTGAAGCTCAGTGTCATTAGAACAAGACAGCGAAAGTTCGGTACGCAGTGCGTCTTGATAGGCTCGTCTGACCGAGGACTGAGACAATTTCTCAGTTGCCAATCGGAGATGCTTGGTGCACCTACCGGCCAAGTTCATGGAGAAATGACAGCGTACTAAGACATGATCAGAGTCGATGCAGGTACTCCAGTACGAGCGGCAATCCAGGATAGAACCACGCCACCTGTAACTTATGGCTATGTGGTCAATTTGGGTCCATCGCTGGCCAGCTACAGGCGAACGCCAAGTGGCACTTCGGCGCCCACTGTGTCTAAAAGCAGTGCTACTAAGAAACAACTGGTGCTCCGCACACAGTTGCAGCAGACGCTCACCGTTGTCAGCCCGTTCGGAGTTAAGCCCACAATTACCACACAGCTGAGCTTCTGAAGAGCTCAGACGCCCTACTTGTGCGTTCATATCCCATGCAAGTACTATAACACCTGAACTAGTAGCACTGCGTACTAGCGCGTTCAGTTTGTGATAGAATGTGTCCTTGACAGCATTACAACTGTAGTCGGTGGGAGCATAAGCGGAAAGCACAAAAAAACAGCGTTTTGTACTACTTGATGAATAAATCTTAGCTGATGTCGTCAAACGGGCTGCACATAAACGGCTGTTCACCGGAATCCAATCAACTAACAGTGGCTCAGCTTTGGAGCATAGAGTGATACCTACACCAGCTTGACCCGTGAGTGCTGCATCGGCGTCTCCGGATGTGTGGAACCAATAACAAGAGGATAAGCCGGGTGCAGTTAATTCAACAACCTTGTTAGGGTCATTGATCCTAGTTTCGGACACAGAACACACATCAATACCCAGTGTGTCCAAGGTGCGTGCGAGTGCAGCCTGTTGACCTACTTGTGCGAACGTTGAACGTCGCCATGGAAACGGGATAGCGTGGCCTTATAAGGGACTATTGCCGAAAGGCGTCCGATAGATGCCGTGGGATGGTGGCTGCAGATGGTTGTACTCCAGTGGCACTTCAGTTGCTATCAATTAAGCTAGGAATTATAGAAGGAAGGTTAGTAATGGGGGTCGGGATGAGAGTAAGAGAAACAGGTGGAAAAGAAAGAGGAGTGGCACCAGCAGTAGCATGTTTTCGCTTATCCGCCCTAATATATGCAGCAGATAAGGCGACCCTTGATAATCTGCGCGTCGGCCGATGCAAGATGAAGTTTATATTTGAAAAAAGTCATGGTTGTATGTGGGTTGAGATACTGCCAGGGCGCCCAGACCTAGACAGGAGGACGTTTAGGGTCCTCATCCAAAGCCTTTGGCTCAAAACCTGTCCGCAAAGCAGCGGGGAGGTGGCAATGATTTAGTTTTTTTTAAATGGACGTCATTCCATTTCAAACCCCCAACCTGGAGGACCAAGTGACTGAATTTGTCTGACCTCTCGCCACTGACCAACCTGGTAGGAGTATCTCTCAAGATTCCCGCAGGCACCCCCTAGTAAAGCTCAATGGGTCAAGGAGGTACGCAAACCGTCGCACCACGTTAAGGTCCACTCTCGTTGCGACAGATTCTAGCTAGCAGTGAACAGTCAATGGAAGTGGTGGTAGCTGTGTCACCTCTGGTGGTCACATCACTGACGAAGTTGGCGTTTCAACAAGGCCTACGTGGTTTTGCAGAGGCACAACGATTTTTTGGGACGGCATGATAGCCTGTGGGTGAAAGGTAGGGTGTATAACACTATGATCAAACCGGTGTTCTGTATGGATCAGAGATCTGGCCAGTTGGTCGTGAAGACATCAAACACTTGATCGCGTTGGACCACCGGTGCTTGCGGAATATTGCTCACGTCTGGTGGTAACATCAGGCGAGCAATGCGGAAGTTCGCCAGTTAGTTCTTAGTAGAGCTTTCTGATACCTCACTGAAGTGTTTACTGAAACTTAATCGCTTAAGTTTGCTAAGTCATATCCTCGTATGCTAGTTGATTGGCTTCCTCGATGCGCATTATACGCCGGGGCTGCACCAAGTTGGGCGAAACCGCGGGGTGACCAGTCCATGACGTAGCATAGACGCATGGAGAAATTGGCTGAGAGACTTGGTCAGGCTGGATCATGCTGTTCCGCGATTGTCCACGACAATGTTTGGAGATTCTTTCAGACATGGCACAGTGGCGCAGTCATTGGTGTACCAGTATTCGGTTTTTTGCATATAGCCGTTAAGTCTCATTCCATCCAGCATAGTTTGAGGCGTTTCCTCTTTGATTCCATTGTCCTTACATTATATTTACAATTAACCTCATCTTATTGCAATTGTTATTTACTGTTATGCTGGCGATGTGAGTCGTGGCAACTGAATTCACTGCACCTCTGTGCGAGGACCACAATTGTTCAAGTGAACTGAACTGATCAAAGCATGTCCTAAAATGATCCGTGGCAAAAGCACTCGGTCAGAGAGCCACCTCACATCCGGAAAGTGGCTGACATTTCCTTCGAGTCCAGGACTATCTTCTGCCGAGGCAGCGGATTAAACTAGTAAGTCGTGGATGAGGACGGCGGACTTACATGAATTACATGTAGCGGCAAAATGGCGCAACATAATCTCCGACATGTAATACACTCGAGGAGATAAAGACTGATTCCACAGTACAACGACTTCTCATTCGAATCCGCTAATAAAATAGAAGAAAGAAAAGCATCAGCAGCACATCCGCGAGTCGCGCCGACGCCTTCCAGCAACGCCATCGCCAGCAATCGCGCACGGACGTTGCGAGGTCACCCGTACCCATTAACCCGTGACATATTGGATTATAAGGCAGAAACGTCTTTTGGGCAATCGACCGACTAGGCCGCTAATTATCCGACGGCGTACAAGTCTGGTTTGGACGGGTAATAATTGGCAAAAAGTGGCGAATGTTGAAAGTACTTTAGATTCAGTCAAACAGCTACCATACACTCAAGAAAGTGCTACACACCCATTCCATCCCATTGGGGCTCATGAGCAGCGTGCATCTCCATCATGCCGAACTTCGTATTCTAGTTTGTTCTGTTGTCACTAATTCTAATCAGCAGGGCAGAAAGTTTAAAGTAGCTACACCTCAGTGTTTGAATCATAAATGCTGAAAGGAGTGGGAACGTAAATGCACAAATAACTCACTGATGCAAGCCTTCTTCCCATGAAAAAAGGCACTGCTGTCGTTCGGATACCTTCGGTTTCCTCGCGATGGACACAAGTAACTTCTAAACTTTGTTTCCTGGCTTCAATCCACCGCCTAAGTTGATCCGTCGGAACCAAAGACGGCTCTGGAGAGTTAAAGAAATGGCGCAGCACGATGAAGCACAGATGAAAATACGTGGACAGAAAGAAACACGCATAATAATTTCTTAAAGAATTTTCAGCAGAATAGAGTTAGAATTAAGATATCAAAATTTCCTTGGTAAACCACTTGGATGAACAGTTCGACTACTGGTCAACAGCATCGAGCATACAAAAGTAGTGGACGGGGACAATGTTAATTTGTCGCAGGAATGTCTGGTGCATCACCAGAAAATGGATTATAACTAGGAATTTGTTGGTTAGTCAGGTAGGTCCTAAGGAGAAAACGGTGACAAATATGACGGACAGCACAAACGCTATGAAAGATAGAACAAGAACAAAATTTTCTCGGAGATTTCGCGTAAATGGTGCAAACATTTGTTGACTGACCACTTCCATCTTTGTGCCAATGAAGCCCAAAAGAGAACCATTACCTCGATCACATGCAGATACCATGAATTCTTGCAAGTATTCATTTTTTATAGGGGTAGGATCGGCTGACGTGTACGGTATAACATCATCATGAAAAACGTAGTCCATTCCTGAAATGAAGTGGAATGAAAGTGAAACTACCAGATACTATGTAGATCGTATTGAATATTCGCTTGTCGTCGGGTAAGAAGGTGACACCAGGTTTGAGAACGGGAACCTAAAGCGTGATCGTGGAAAGTTGCCGAGCCTACACATAGGTCAGTGTCACGTTGATCGGTTAGAACTTGGTACATAGTCACCCCGATACCGTCTTCTTTTTTGTACTCATGTGTGGTCACTTCGCTGACATCGAAAATGTCAATGCATTAAAGACTTACACCGTTTTCGAGGAGAGGATGTTTCGATCAAACAACTTCGCCGGCCACGACTGTAAAATTATTCCACGATAGCCGAAATGCTTGTGCAAAAAAAGTTGACCGGGTTCGTAAGATGTATCAGACAGGCGCTGTAGCTGTCCAACCGGTTCCAGACTAAACCACGGAGCGGTGAACGTAAAAGTGGCTTGGAATTAGACACACCTTAAAGCCTGGGTAGCAAAAAACGCGGAATAAATTGAAGGATGAAGATTGACAGTGATTCTGAAGGCTTTCTGAAGGTTGAGCATGATTTTGATGCCTCTAGTTGTCAATAAATATCCAGATTTCGCGAAGGAGGAAAAAGTAGTAACCCCCTAGCATGTATGGAGACAACAAGTTGGCCTGAAACGAAAAGTAGAAATGAAGTTGCGGCCTCGAATAAAACACATCAGCTTAGGCCATTAAACCAGCAAAAGACAGATAGCACTTAAGCGTAGCATAAACATCACGTATTAATAGCATTGTGTGTCCAACGTTGCCACACGGTTCGCACTGTCAGAGAACTAACAGTTGCAATCAGTATACGATCTATGGAAACGAAGCGACATAAATGCGATGTAGGAATTGGAGATGTATCGGGTGATACCACTGGGCGACTTCAGAGGCAGTTTAATACGATATAAATACGTAAACATTATCAGATCGCTGTACGTGCATAGTTTGGGCAAAGTGAGGGTTTGTGGCAAACGTGCACCGCCCTTCAATATCTCCGCCTGTGTGAGACAAGGCTGCACGTTGTCACTCTTCCTCTTCAACTTCGCCATTGACGAAGCCGTGGAAGCAGCATTCGATGGACACGACTTACAAGGTGTGGAGCTACTTGCTGGTGAGCGACTTCTTGCCTTGGAGTATGACGAGGACATTGCCCTCATACGTGACAGCGCCCAAACGTGCCAGCCTGCACTGGACCGATTAACACTGGCTGACAATCACTTGGGCTATGCTTTGTTCCATCGAAATACGAAATACTTCTAGATGGGAAGAAACCCACCCCTGCGCTGACCCTTAGTGTTGATCAGAAATTCAGGTACCCAGACAGCTATGTTAGCGCCTGTTGGATCAATTATGAGGTCAGAAACCGTACAGCAGAAGCTCAAGATGCTTTGGCCAATCTCCACTACCTGTGGTGCCGACGCGACATCACACTTGCCATGAAGGACAGAGTTTAGAATTCGGCTGTCCGTTCAACCCTCTTATACTGTTGTGAAACCTGGCCCATCAGGTCGATAGACATAAAAAGGCTAACTATGTTCGATCATTGCTGCCTCAGCAGCTTAGCTCGTGTCTGGTGGGAGCACCGCGTAAGCAATGGATGTGTTCGGCGTCACGTATTTGGTGCAGGAAGAACGATTGAACAGCTCAGCACCATTAAATCACGCACTAGAGTTCGATGGTTGGGCCACGTGTTGCGCATGCCAGCCCACTGACTCCCGCGTCGTGTGTTGTCGGCGGGCCGGGAGTGTGGATGGAAGAAGATGAAGGGACGCCAAGCAATGACTTGGTCAAGAGGAATGAAGGCGCTTACTTCGAAGTTGGCGTCGGTTGGTTTGTCCCGACTACCGGGCTTGAGTCCTAAGGACGATGAACACGTTTGATTGGACATACTTGTTGATACGACGAAGAGCCGGCCCCAATGGCGTTCTCCTTGTGAGTTTCTTCGTCCACCCTCCTCTCCCAATCCAATCATGGTCTCATATCTAATATGCAATATAATAGTTAAGACTATGTTACCCACTTTTTGAAGTTTTGTACTGTCCTTTGTGTATTGAGGCAATTAGCTGAGAAGCAAATGCAGTCAAACTGCAGAGCTCAGCGAACACTCAGACCACCAACATTAGCTGAGATGTGTTTTCCACCCCCAGCTAACGTAAATTAATGATTGCGATGAGGGTGAATTTTGCGTCACAGTAGCTGAGGTGTTTCCCACCTCTAGCTAACGTGTATAATGATAATGATGATGATTACTGATTGGAAGCAGCAATAAGAGATGTCTCTGTGTAGCTGCATCTAACATCACTCGGAGAGGGAGGTCCATTATGTGGAATGCACTCGATATATTTTATATCGGCAGTTTATGCGAAAAGTTCTCAAATTCCGACACCGACTTTGCCTCAACTACGTGTTGCGGCAGGGTGTTCCACACATTCATTACTCTAGATCAGAAACAGAGTTGGTAAGCGACCCGCTTCAAATCCAGCACTACAAGCTTGTACCGGTGTCCTCGTGCGTTGCTTGGTGTGCGCAAATTGATGCAGCGGCCTCAACACGGGGTATTCACCGAGATGTAATATCGGGTGCGTCATGATAAAGTCAACCCGCAGTGGACGGTTAGCTAGGGTGTAAAGCCCTAGCTCCTTACACCGGTCTTCGTACGGCACACCTCGTAAGTTGGGAATCAGCCTGGTGGCCACACGCTGCACTCGTTCAATTTTTTCTACCTTGCCCCGGGTGATAGGGCAATACGTGGGAGAGCCATACTCTAGCAGTGGTCGTATTAATGAGACGAAGAGGCGAATGGCAATCTCTTCGGACCAAGTGCTGAAGCTGCGTCTGCGCGCCCAAAGCATACGAAGGCTGTTTTGGCAAAGCCTATTCGTGTTGTCCATGGACTTTAGGTCGTAGCGTGAGAGTACACCGAAGTATCGCACGAAAGGCGCGGAACGCAACGGTTAACCGGCCACAGTGTAGATTCGACTGTGCTCACACTTATCCAGCCTCATGAATTGCGATGTGACCGGGTTGATCGGAAGGTTACCCTCGCAGACCACGTGGAGAGGCGGTAGAGGTCTTGCTGAAACAGGTCCCAATCATTGGGTGCGCGGATTACTCCACACCTTCGAGTCATCTGCGAACAACGCACAAGGTGAACGAATTACTTGAGGCACATCGTTTACATGGATCGGGAACAAAATGGACCCCAGTACAGTGCCTTGGGGCACGCCACTGCTCGATGGATAGCAGTCGATCAAATGGTTGTCCATCTGGACCCTCCACTTTTGAGAAACAAGGAAATTCCTAATGCATCAGTGCAGCGAGTCGTCAACACCACACCCTCAACCAGTTGAGGAGCACTTCATCATTCACCTTGTCAAAAGCCTTATTGAAGTTAATGTAAATGACGTCGACCGACTTCTCTTAGTTCAGCGCTTGCAACCATTCGTGCTTCGTCAACAGTAGGTTGATGAAGCACGAGCGACCTTTCACGAGATAACGCAGTGCATGCGTCAAGGGGATTTTCGATTTCAGAAGATGCAGAAGACTCTTCTTCACGATCTCAAGCGTCTTTGTCAAAACAGCGATTAAGCAGATGGGCCGGTAGTTATCCACTTTGTTTGAGTCCGCACCTTTAGGTATTGGCTTTACGACTGAGCATTTCCAGTCACCTGGCAATAAACCAGTGGATAGTGCCCCGTTGAACAGCTCAGTTACAGAAAACGAAATGATGGCCAATAGCGACTTGGGAATTAGTGGGTGAATTCCATCTGGCCCAGCAGGCTTCGTCACGTCGAGACTTGCCAGCAGCTTGAATACATATTCAAGGCTACAATCCAAGCTGCCTAGTTCAGTGGGAGCGGTACTCGTCGAATTCGGTACAGACACCTGGTCACTTACAAATACCGAAGCGGTGCGCTGCCAATGCGGACGCACAATCTGTGCTCAAGGTTAGGGGCTGACCATTTAAGCCTACTAGTACTGGCACATTGCTTTCAGGCCTCACGCACCGTTTTACGTAGGCGAAGATTCCCTTAGGAGCAGTTTTTGCGGCGGCTGCAAGCAGCTCTTTGAAGATTCTGCGGTTTTGTTTTCGAGTTGTTGTAGAGATTGCGCTGTAACTTGTACGCCTTGAAATCTTCATCAGAGCCAGATGACACAAATTAATTCCATAGTCTGCGTCATCGTCTGGACAGTTTGCGGACTTCTTGTCGAACCAATGTGGCTTGATTGGTTCAACTTTCCGATACTTGAGGAGTACTGTCCAGGAGAAAGTAAGAACTGCCTAGGAAAGCCACTCTTTTAGCGATTAATCGATTATTAACGATTATCGCATCGATTCCGAAGGTTCCGGAATGTCCTAGTTCTGCATGTGACTAAAAGCCACCTGACACCACGGCAAAAGCTATGGGGGACCACTAACCTTGGTAGCTGACGTTCCAATTCTAGAAGTCGAAGGTCAGTAAGAGACCTATAAATAATGCCAAGGTCCGCGGTAGTTGTACAGTGTTGATGGCGATTAATACGTTATTTTGCCAAGTTCATTGGCTTCGGTTGGGCTAGAAGCTTTGTGCAGCAGTAAAGTGTCAATTTCGGAATCGCGTCTAGTGAGAAGATTATAACAGGTACAAATCTAGCGCATAACGATTTCACTCCCTTTTTAATGATAGTCCAACAAGGTTAAACAGACGAATCCTCTGGTAACGACCAGTCCATTTGGCTCACTGCTCGAGTGAGGTTATTAAAGTCCGCCTTCCAACAGTTGAAGGCCGGCTCCAGCGGGGGAGAATACGGCAGCGGTAGTTCCAAGCTGGCTATGATCATCGAGTGGTCACTCGCGCCCAGGGGTTCCAAGACCTGAATGTCATGCACACGTTGCTGACAGCTGGTCATAAGCCAGTCTAAACACGATGGAGTTGCGCCCGCAATTATGCGCGTCGGCTGGTTGATGTGTTGTGACCCCAGTTTCAACTATCAACTCCGTATACGTCCTCTCAACTTCACAATGGACAGGGAGAAATTCAGCCTCAGACCACTGTATTCGGGGTAAGTTGAAATCGCCCATGAGTAGGAACAGCGGACGACTCATGTGGTTGCGGACATGTCACAACCAGTCCAAACATCGGTTCAGTGGATTGCTATATCCCAAGCCACGAGAATCCCGCAGCGTCTGAGGTGAATCGAACACCATAACTGCTCACACAGACCATCGGCGCTTCGATAGGTGCTCAGTAGTCTTCCACAAAACAGAATGCTACCACGTTCATTTGATGGTCTTTCACAGCGAAAGCACGAGTAGCCGCTGATTTCCACTTCTTGGGCGGTTACCTCGGATGATGACGATACCATATTTTGACTGAGGTCAGAAAGGTCCAAGTTCTTAACCCATCTTTCGGGTGTTAAAACAATTTGCGTAAAAATGGCTCATTTGTAGACCGTTATCGTATTCTTACTGCACAGTCGTCAGGCTAGTGAACAGAAGAGGAAAAACGAGGAAATTAAACGCTCCGATCAAATTTAAAAACCTCGGTACAATCCGAGCAGGAAAACATCGGACGCCGCACCAAGTAGAGAGTCATTATACCTAGGCACAGCAGAATAATAAATGATGAGGTACCCAATTCCACTTAT